ATCTCTGAGGCCTATCCATGCGTCTGTACCCTACAGAAAGCATCTGAAGTGATTCTTTCTTATAATTTGTGCCTGTGCTACAGGTTTGCTGTCAACCCTTCCTCCTCCAACCCCACCTCCCACATCTTGGCTCTGAAAGCTTCTGCCAGCAGCTCTTGGTGGAGAGGGATTCTCCTCTCCAACAACTTCAAATTTCAGCCAGGCTTTGCCAGCCAGCATGAGTTAATTAGGCAGCTTTATGCTCTTCTGCCTGTCTACACGCTCTTCAAGAAAATTAGTTAGTATAAGTACTGACACAGTAAACATCCACAGCCTCTGTTTTGTACTGCCATGCCTCACCTGCAGTGCTGCTCCAGATCCTCACTGCTTTCCCACTTAATTGATTTCTTCTTCTTAATCAGCCCAAGGTTCATTTTTGGGCAACCCATATCCTATTGTTATTTTTGGGATTATGTGCAAAGTGGTGCAGAAGGGCCAGGTACTGGACAAAACTCATTTCCCAGAATCTCACATTGCCTAGAAAATATCTGGATGCTATGGAACCACTGTTATCTTGTTGCAGTGATTCCTCATCATTTTCCCACCAATCTCTCTGAATTTAAAATATTTTTTTTTTTTTTTTTTTTAATAAGTGAAATCTTTTTGTGTGCATGTGTGTGAAGTCCTTGAGATTTCTCACTGGCAAATCAACCTTTGAGCTCAAAAGCAGTATCTCACAGCTAGGTATCAACTTGTGAGCTATGGCAGGCTCTGTACAGAGAGGCACCTGACAAGGTAGGGCTAGTAACCTCATATGTGAATTCCATAGTGTAGATCCACACAGATTTACTACCTTGGATTTGGAAATAGTATACAGGCTTTTGCATAAGTCAGTGTCCAGTTAGTGAAGGCTACTGTGCCCTAGATGTCTATAAGCAGCAGGAAAGTCCACCCTGTCTCTTTTCAATACCAAGCAAGAACAGGTAACCAGACCAAACCATTCATCCTTTTATCTCTTCAGAGAATTTCAGTGTTGAATAGGAAAAGGTCTGTCTATAATGATGTCCTGAAAAAGAAATACCATTGAAACCCCTTACTCAGAGTAAGCTTTTAAATGATTTTAAGCCTTACTGCAAATTGCCCTAAAGACATCTTAGTATGACATGGCATAAGTGCGTTGTCTATGACATTTATTTTACTTCCTGCAGCATGACAGCTTGCCTTAGTATCTGCAGCGTGACTCGAGAATGGAACAAAGCGCAAGCAAATGTTAATGTGCCATATGCAAACAACAGTTAAATTCGCTGTTGGCAGCAGAATTCAGAGCGTTATTCGGGAAAATTCCAGCCATGACCCTTATCAAAAATGTCAGCCTGCAGTGAAGTACTTGCATCTGTATGAAAATAAATAATTCTGCAGGCTTTTTAAAATTAGCTTTTACTGGGACATGTGTTTTCCTGTTTTTGTTCTGTTTCAGTTTTGTTTTACTTACAGCCACTTATATGACGTTGAAACATATCAGATTTATTAACAAAGTACTGAATTGTATATTTTATACTGCGACCAAGATGGATTTCATCCACTGCAATGATTACAGAGCAAGAAATTAATTTCACTTTTAATTTCAGAATTTCTCATAACATATGAGACAAATTCTCTAAAAGACTAACCCTGGTAGGGCAGAATCTTTGCTTATACAAATGGACTTTTAAGTAGAAGTGAATCTATTCACCAATTTTTTAAAAGTGAGACTTTTTGGAAGGAGTGTTGTGTTAAATGCAACATGCCTGTGTGTTTGAGTGAGAGGAGAGCAGGGAATAGTGGGGGCGGAGTGCACCAAGAGGGGTGGGCTTACCCACAGTCCATGTAATCGTTCTATGTAGGAATTATTCTATAAGAAAAATCAGATGAATTAACACACTGATTGGCAAGTCTGATTTCTGATGAAAGTTCATTTCCAGGAGAAAATCTGTTGGAACTGCAAAATAAGTCTTGAAATAGAAGATCTGTTATTGTAATATAGCCAGCAAAATATACAGCCCCTAATGTTTTCTAATAAGACTGAAGCAATTCATTCCAGTAACCTGAAGTAACATCATCGTCCACCGTGTTCAACGTACTGAATGCTAAACTAAGACAGCAGATTCCCGGGGAAACTGTGGATGAGGATAAGCAGCTGTAGCACTCTTTTCTCATCAAGAAGCAATGGAGACGTCCCCCAAGTAGCTCAGCTCTGTCTGTTCTCTGGCAGTGAGAGGATATTGCCACACCCCTAATGTGTAGTCTACTGGGTGTAACCATTATAATACACCAAAATGGTCAAACACTAATCTGATGACATCAAAACAAAAGCTTGCAGTCTTGTTGAAACAGAGGGTAAACATTAACGCTAGGATCCAAGGCATCAGCATAGAGCTGCATCAGAAGAAGTTCAGACTAGATTTTAGGCAAAGGTCCTTCACTTAGAAGGCGGTCAGGCTCCTTTGGGCACTATCATGGCACCAGGCCTGCTGGCACTTGGACAACGCTCTCAGACATATGGTTGAATTTTTAGGTAGTTCTGTGCGGAGCCAAGAGTTAGACTCAATGATTCTTGTGGGTCTCCTCCAGCCCTAGATTGGTTCTAGGATTCTGTGATTTTTCCCATTGGCTTTTTGTGCTGCTGTATCATTTATAGCTTTTTGATGATGCAATATTGTCAGCGCTACATATATGTGTGTGTGTATGTGCCTGTGTGTTTGTGTGGCCAGAAAACTCTTTCTTCAAAGGTTTTTCAATTAGCAATAACAGCATATAATTACCTCTCTTTCTAATGGTTTTTTCCTACCCAAAATAAAATGCAGCCAGCACATTTAGTTCCATAAATATTCATTACCAGTATCTGTACAATGTTTATTCCTAACTGACTGTGCTGGGGAGAGAGATATTTACTTACATGTTCTGTATTCATCAGTGCTGTGGTGCTATAAAATAGTCTTTAAAATCTGGAAAGTTTTCAATAGTTCAGGTGGACTTTGTTCATACTGATGGAAGTCTAATCGCATTTTATGTTTTTTTGCTATACTGGTTTTACTACAGTGATTTTTGTGTGAGGACAAAGATGGTATATCAATGTTCAGTATTATCATTCTAGGTAAAAGCATAACATCCTAGCAAATACAGCCCTTGATCTTTAACTCTATGGCTCATGAATTTGTTTTCATGAACCAGATCAGCACAGCTGAACACAAGATGACCTGAATTTATTGATTAGAGAACCTCAGAGAAAAGAGATCCTCACGGCTTGCCGAATTTAAAATCCTAAAGATTACCATCAAATAATCTTAACTTTGCCTTTTTATCACAGAAAGAGGGCAGGTCTAAACACTGTAGAGAAGTACACACGAGAACAGCAGCAGGGTTCAGACACGACTTCAGTACTTGAACTGATTCTGCTGCCTTCCCACTGACAGCAAGACAATGACAGCACTTGCTAGGCTTGTATAAGTCCCAAAAAATAAATCCTCAGGTCACTGCAAGTGAAATTCTTTCATTCTCTGAAGAAAAAAAAAATACTGAAATAATTACCACATGACTTGAGGATTGATACTGCAAGAAAAGCTTTGGGACATTCAGTCACTGAAAATCATCCATAAAATACGGCTTCTTCAGTACATATCTGTAGATCTCTCACTGTCTGAGAGTGAGGAGATGATAGCCTGTATATACTGAGGCTGACATAAATGGAAGGACCTTAAAAATGAGGAGGAAGGTTCACATCTAGCTATCTCATTACCACACTTGGTCTGAATATACGCAAAGTAAATCTAGTTCAAGTGAAGGTGATAAAAGAGCATCAAAAAACTCTTCCTGCAGAAAGAAGCTGGTAACAGTGGTTAGAGTTTTAGTCAAATGTGCAGTGTACCCAGACAGTTAAACACAAAATATTGTAGCTCATTCACATAGACTTCGATTTAAAATCAGAGAGAATTACTTTATGTGGGAGCTGATCCCTGCTTTACTCTTTTTCCTATTCACAGGTGTGTCACTTCATGCACTGCTCAGATTTGCCTTGCTTGCAACATACACTAACTCTGGGAGTATTGTGCTACTAATTTCTCATGGATTTCACTTGACATTTATTTGCAACCACTGCAATCCCTCTTTGCTCATCGTAGCAGGCAACTCCATTTGCTCTGCATGTAGCACCCACCATACATCCAGACACAGTCACTCTGACAGCAAAACTCTGCCTGATCTCTTCTGAGAAGAGCTACACATCACAGCTTTCAGGCCACCTAGCAAGGGCTTGAACAAAGCTTAGATACGCTAGACTTTGAAGCAAGAATTGGAGGGAGTGTCAGTGAAATGGATGAAGTGTGATTTCCTCCAGTTTCTTTCACCCTGTAGGCATCGGGCCAAGACCTGTTCTAGCCTTACAGCATATTGAAAATAAGTAGTTCAACTGTTGCTTATAATGATCTCAAGGTGTTTATATACGTTGTTCTTGATGTGCCCCAAAACACTGTGAGTGCTGCAGCATAATCTGTGCTTTTAAAATTTATTTCAAAAGTCTGCAGTGTATCAGCTTTTTATTGCTCCAGTCAGATAGGAACAAATAGCTGAAGCTTGCAGGAGTTCTCTGTTGTCTTTTACCCAATCAGTATCCATCAGATGTCACCACATACAATCTAGTAAAAAAGCATCACGTAGCACAACTCTCTTGTATGACTGTAAATCCCAAGTTTATTAAAATAGGTGAAGAATAAAAACCAATTATTGAATTCACAACTCAGATATCTGGCTGCAATAGATTTCACATCTCATGATATCTCATGACATATTGTTTTTACTAAGTGATCTGAGACCCCTGCACATGAGAAACATGTCTGCTCTGTGGTGCCTCAGTCTTTAGGAAAACTGTTCAAGCAATCCTTTGGACAGTGTGAAAGCAAAGTGTTTGGAGAGTCATCTTCAATTACGAAAAGAGAGAAACTGTCTCCTGTTCAGAGAGTCACATTCTCCCCATATATCTCTCACAGAGCTCACCTTGAACCATGTGGGAGCTGAAGGCACAGAAGGCTGTTCCTGTCACCTCAAATAGGGACATCAAGGGATGTACCTTAATACCAACCTTCGGCTCATCAGACATATGCACAGACTTGGAGATGAGTGACTTGGATCCTGTTCTCACAGGATGTATTTGTCTTTTGTTCAGACCTTGTGCTTCTAGTAAGTGCTTTTGTTTGCTTATTTATAACACTGCCCTTGATTTTTCAGATTCCATTGAACTTCACACTGAACTCTCTCTGCACACGATTCTATCTTCAGTTTCTTCCTACAGGATGTATGAATTGGTGCCTTGATCAGGGAGCAATCTAGCAATATGGTACCTGGTCTTTATGATTACAGATGGAAGAAGATCCCTGAAAGACTTACTTTTGAGACAAAAATAATCAGGAAGATAACCTTATAGTTAACGAAGGTGGGGAAATGATGAATAAAACTAGTGAAAGCAGGGGAAATCTATTTCCATGGACAGCTGCATCTTTGCACCACTTCTTATGAGACACTTCTATACACATATTTTTGTGACTGAGGAAAAAGTGGTGGTTCAAGGATTTCTTCTCAGATAGGAGGATTTGTTATTTCTATGACAAATGAGCAGAGAAATAAAATTCTCTGCTTCTCACTTGGTTAACTGAAGAAAACATCTTTGAAAAGTCTATTTTTGGATGTGACCAAATCCTCCATAAAGCTATGAATCAGTCAGAATCAATCTTTTTTCTTGAATTGCAATTAATACTTTCTATATTTAAAGAAAATGTATTTAAAATTATTTCACCATCTCAGGAAAAAAAAAAAAAAAAAATCTGAGGTTTTGGGGATCACAGAATCAGAGAACTATGGGGGTTGGAAGGGTCTTCTAGAAATCATCTAGTCCAAACTCTTGCCAAAGTAGGTTCTCTGCAGCAAGTTACTGTAGAGGAAAGCACCTGGATGGATCTTGAATATCTCCAGAGAAGGAGACTCCACCACCTCTCTGGGCAGCCTGTTCCAGTGCTGTGTCACTCTGACAGTAACAAAGTTCTTCCTTGTACTAGTATGTGACTTCCTGTGTTCCAGTTTCTGCCTGTTGCCTCCTGTTCTGTTGTCACTCACCACCAAAAGGAGTCCACCTCCAACACCTTCACTCCAGCACTTTAGATATTTATAAATAGTTATGTGATCCCCTCTCAGCCTTCTCTTCTCTAGACTGAAGAATCCCAGGTCTCTCAGCCTTTCCACATGAGGGAGATGCTCCATGTCCTTAATAATCTTTATGGCCCTCTGCTGGACTCTTTCTAGTAGATTCCTGTCTTTCGTGAGCTGAGGAGCCTAGAACTGGACATGGTATTCCAGACGAAGCATCACCAGGGCAGAGCAAAGGGTCACCTTTCTCAACCTGCTGGCCACACTCTTTCTTACACACCCCAGGATATCACTGGCCTTGTTTCTCACAAGGGCACACTGTTGGCTCATGGTCACCCTGTTGTCTACCGGGACACACAACTCTTCCTCTGCAGAGCTTCTCTCCAGCAGGTCGGGTCTTCTACACTTCTACCTGCAGTGACAACACAAAGCTAGAAAATAATGTCCCAAGCCCATTCTCAATAACATTTGCAAAGGAAAGGTCTCTAGTAGCTGTAAGAAGATAAAACATGGAAAAGCTGATTCAGCTAGCAGAGAACCAGTCTGTCACTATTTCCAAGCCAATTTCTATCTAATAACAAGATGCTTTCTAAAAGAGAAATTCTACCAAATTTAATAATATTGTATATATTTATATATACAATATATATAAGTGTATATATTTAATATACACTTCAACGCAAAGCTAAAAATTGTCTGCTTATGGAATTTCTTCAATTTCCCTTTTAGCATGCCCTGTTCCTTTATTCCTTCATTATGTAATTTTGTCAGACTGCATGTTTTCATTTTCATTCTTCAAATGAGAAAGATTGTCATCCTCATCAACCAGAAGATCGTTGGATCTGTTACGTCCTGCCTCATTAAAATATGCCTAGTCAGTTACATCCAGTCTAGAACCTTTATCTTCACTGTTTTCTCAGTTTCCCATAAGCATTTTTAAACACCTCAAATTATATTTAATAATAAGAAATTTACCTTATGGAGATAATCCAGCAAAAGGATCCTAAATGTAATCTGGGCTTCTTGCTCCATCCACAAATCTTGAAGCATTCAGTTTCTTCCCCAGGTCAGCTCCCTCGGTTCCTCCAGCAGGTGAACAACTTGTTCCATTCATTTTCTGTTGTGTGCTTGGAAATCAAAAGGAATGGTTTTCTGTAAGGAAGCTTGTTGTGTATGCATTAATCATAGCAGTTTGTGTGGGAATCTCCTCTGAGGCCATACATGGAAAGAGAAAGAAAGCATCTATTTCAGGATGTAAGCCCTTAGGGACAAAATGCAAGCACAAGTCAAGGCAAACATTAGCCTTGCTGGTGAGCGTGGGCTGAGGAGGATCCTGCTGTAAAACACCCCAGCAGTGGGACATGAAGGAAGCTGTGTAGAGCAAAATTTTTCAGAATATTTCATCATGTAAAGATGCAATCAGAGGTCAGTGGGGTTATAAAAAAGAATGGAACGACTTGGGTGCTTCATATCTGCTTACTGGAACTTCCTATCTCATGCTTGTTGTGCTTCAGTGCTTGCAAATTGGGCTAATCACCTGAGCATTAGCCACCCAGAAATGCCCAGAGTGAAATGCAAAAGAACTGGTCTCATAAACTTTCCCTCAGTGCAAAGCCCAGGTAACTGGGGAAACTGCAGCTGCTGCTGCAAGGCAGCCCTCTCCATCAGGTTCCTCTTCTGAGCCCATTGCCACAGACTTTATGAGTCGTGGCATGAGGAGATGCTTGAGAAGATTTCAAGAGGTACTATCAGACACTGCAAGGAGTGAGGGAAGGCACAGCGGCAGAAACAAATGTGGTTCTAGAGCAGATCTCAGTGACTCATAAGTCAGATACTGCTGCTAAATTAAAATCTCAGCATGCCTCTCTACACTCAAGAGATCTTGGTTTTCCACTTCACATGCACTGAACACAGTGTATCTAAGTGATGATGGCCTCGTCTGCCCCTAATTTTTACATTCACTCCTTCCTTCATATTGCTGTTATGTCATTGTTGCTCACCTTTATTTTAACCTCTGGCTTTCACTCATGCTGTTTTGATAGCACCATGAAACAACCAGAAGACTCTAAGCTCAGAGTGATGAAGTAAATAGTAATAACAATAGGGGCTGGTAAAATGATGCCTCATGATATGCTCTCTGAGAGCAGGAAGAGATAAATCAATCTGCCATCATCAAAACTGACAACTACTCTCACCACAAACTCCTGACTACCAAGAGGGATGTCTGCACTCTGCCCTGTGGAGTCTCCAGCCCATCCCTCCACAATCCTGCAGCCACAGAAACCTGGGATTTACTAGGATTTTGAAATAACTTCAGTTCATCGCAGCTGCAGCCTGGAACTCAAAGCAAATCAGAAAATGTTCCAGGAATTCATTTTTAAGAGAATCTCATCTCGCTCTTCTTTTTTTTCCTTTTTTTTAAGAGATTTGTTTGAAGGTGCCCTTGTAATTGTACATGGTCACATACAACCACTGTTTCAAAATTGCAGTGGTTTTGTATAGCCATTAATCAATAAAACACATATTAATTAAGTGCTTCATTGTGCTCTTGCATGATTTATTAGGCCTTCCTTCATTAAAGAGTTTGATCAGAAAAGTAATTAAAGAGTGAACTGTGGCATCAACACATACTTTGCATCACTTATTAGAAGCATGTATCTTAGAACAAAAATGTGGTAATGAATGCTTGAGCAGCCATGGGTTACACTTGATGTCAAATGATCTGAACTGTTAGTACCAATAATCGTTGGCTTTCCCACAGATGAACAAACTGGATATGAAAGCAGTGAAGACAAGCATGCCAAGTTTGTTTCCAGAGCTGCTACTTTAAATAACAGCGAATAAGGAGTGAGTTCCGAGATCTGAAGTACTGCACATGTGTATTCTATACTTTTGTACAAGTTATTAGAGAAATATCAGGCCTTTTGTTAGCTTCATCATCAACCATTGAGAATACTCTTAACATCTGAATTTGATGTGTTGAACATGGAAAATGTTAGTAATGTCTCTATGGATAAAGAAGATTTAGATTCCCTATGTAGAATTTTAATCTAATAATTTTTAAGTACTTTCCTTATTTGTTCTTCAAAATGCATAGTTCCTGTGCCACTGTGGTTCGTTTTCCTGTGTTTCATTAAGCCTGCTTTATGCCAGTTGAATCCTTAGTTCCTTAGCAGACAACAGCGCTGCGTACCTGGGTGAATCTCACTCCGCACATATTCCACTGCAAGATACTGAGGATTATGAGAGCTGCTCTGAAGGTAATGCCTCCTGTTTTATGATGCTGGCCCACAGTGTCAGAGGTGGATGTTGCGGATATGGCAGTAGAGGCTGAATGTTCCCACCAGTATCTCATTACATTTCGGTGCCCTGTGACAGCAGAGGAGCAGTCTGACACAATGGCATCTGACATGGAAGTGCAGATGAAGCAAATGTGTGTCATTAAATTCCTCCATGAGGAAAAAATGGCATCCAGTGACGTTCACTGATGCTTGCTGAATATTGATGGAGTCCAAACAGTGGATGTGGGAACAGTGAGGCAGTGAGTACATTTCAGCAGTGGTGGCAGCGACAGATGTTCACCTCCCCTGCTGTAGATTTTTATAAGCAGGCCATGCAGGCTCTTGTTCATCACTGGCAAAAATGCATAGCTCATGGTGGTGACAGTGTTGAAAAATCATGCTTTGTAGCTGAGAATTTGCTCTATCAAATGGTGTTGTTGGTTGGTGCAGGGTCAAATAAATTATGTTTGGCTTTGGAAGCTATTCTGGGTTTCTGGGTTTAGTTCTAGTCTAATAGGTCTTCTTATAATGCTCACTTTTGTTTGCTAGGCTTTGTTTTCATCCTTTGTGTTCTCATTATGAGAAATGGCAGAGGGAAAAATGGTTTTCTTGGAACAAACTTGCTTGAGTCTTGGCAATATTGGTTAGAATGAATGCTGGCACTTCCATTTGAGAAAAAAAAGTGTACGTTAATCTTTATTCCATCGTGGTAAAGAGAATGGGTTCAATACAGGTTCAAGTATACAGCACTACTCAGAAACATCTGCCTTTTGCCTTCATTGATTCATGATGAGTGCAGGGAGGAACAATGATTTGAAAATTAGGAGATCTGATGTTAGTCATGTTTGCAGTACAAATGCTTAAGGATGATTCAGTGTGTGAAAAAATGCTTATCTTGCAGATTATCAATCCTTTCAAAAAACAACAAAAAACACAACAACAGCAAAG